TGACCTTCTAGCTGTGAGGTGCTAACGGTGCTAACCACTGAGACAACTGCAGCCCCATTTGGAAACAACTGAACTATTTTAGAGATACTGTTGTCATCAGCATGTGTTCTCTCTGAGCCTCCATCACATTGTTGGACCTAATCATCTGCTCTGAGCAGTGGGTTCTGTGGGTTCTGTGGGTTCAGAATCAAACTGCATAATTCATGAAGTAACTCAGCACGTTTCATCACTCTGGTTCTGCATTAAATCAAACTTTTGTGTGTTTTCAGAGCTTCTTCGAGGGACAGTCGGCTCCGTGGGATTCTGCCAAAAAAGACGAGAACCGCATGAAGAATCGCTACGGCAACATCATCGCCTGTACGTACTGCATGTTTCTGCTCAGCAGCTCTGTGGCAGCTTCGGTCTGGTAGAACACATGAAATCAAGCAACAGGAATGCACCTCAAAGGGTTTGAGCTCAGAACCTTGAACATCGGAACATTTTTGTAAATCAAAATAAACATTTCTGTTCTTATCGTGAGAAAAACTGAAAGTTACAGAACTGGTACCCAATGAGGCAGAACCATGACCTGAAATTCTCAACATTTACTGTTACTCAACAGATTCTGTTGTAAAAATGAACTTACGTCTTTCAACAAAAAATGTCTGCATTTTACACAAGAACCGATCCTTTTAATCAGTGTGTTGTTGGACTGGGACGGATTCACAACCTGCTTTCACGCAGAAAACAATGTCAAGTAAAAATTCATGACTTCAATGCAGGTGAGAATTTTAGTCCTTCAGGGTTTGTCTCAGACCACCAGCAGCTTTTTTTTGTTTTACCAGACACTCTGGATATTAAAAATGGTTTCTGTGAGCAGATGCATATTTATAAGTCCTGCGGAAGTGTTTACCATCCATCTTTAACAACTGAATGAATCCACAAAATCGAACAGCTGACTGTAGTTCTTCAGCTACAGAGTGAGTCTTTAAATATCACGTTTGCTTCACGACACTCTCAGACGTTCACAGGACCGTTAACCATGAGCTGATTTCATGAAGTCACTCTGGATTCTCCACATTCACTGTCGGTGAGCAGCCGTGAAATGCATTCTGGGAGCGTCGACGTGCGACTCCTCCTGTTTCCATGAAGATGACGTCTTGTCCTGCTGCTGCTCGGTGCTCCTGTAGACTCTGAAAAAGTCTGAAACAGCTTGTTTTTAGAAACGCTGCTCCAGTCTGGCCTGAACTCAGGCTCCAGTTCTTGTTTAGTTTCTTTGATTTAATTTTTATGTTTCATTCATTTGTTTTTAATGTGATTGTTGGTAATTTAATCAAATCAGTTTTTACGCACACACTCACACACACTCTCTGTCCTCTTTGTGTTAGTGTGTTGAATGAATGTAATTAAGTATTTATTAATATATTTATTATAAGCTCTTTTATTCAGAAGGAACTAGCAGTCTAACACTGTGTGTGTGTGTGTGTGTGTGTGTGTGTGTGTGTGTGTGTGTGTGTGTGTGTTAGACGATCACTCTCGTGTGCGTCTGCAGCCTCAGGACGGAGACGGCGGCTCTGACTACATCAACGCCAACTACGTCGATGTGAGTATCACACAGGACTTTACTGCCCTTGAAAGGACCGCTGTGTTTCCATGACAACGATGGTCATCAGGTAGCATCGCTTGACTCTGTCAACAAAGTGAGAGAATGCTGTCTCTGTGAGGACCGTCTGCAGCTTAAACAGTAGTTAGAAACAGAGTGGATCCTGTCTACAGATGGTTCTGGTTCTGGAGGTAAAACGGTCCTTCCATCGTCTAGAACTGGTTCTGACCAACCACCATCACACATGCTGATATGAGCCTGGAACGTTTACCCAGAATGCACTTTGTAAAGTTTCCTCTG